TTGACCGTTTAGTAAGAGAGTAAAACCACTTTCAATTGATTTTTGGCTCACATCTGTACTTAGAGTCAAAACTTTTGAAAGCAAATATAATTGTAGTTTGTTTGTAAATTCATATTCATGTGATATATTTTAAAACTTTAGTTCCTTATTATTAGTTTAGCTAACATTTTAAAAATTCTTCTAGTCTTTCATTGTGTAAAAATTTTAATTAAATTCGTAGTTCTTTAATAATTTTGAGATGCAGAAAAGAGGATATTTTCATACGCCACCATTCCTCCAAAAATATAGTCCCTGCTTGTTTTAATACAAGAAAAATATGCTCTTTTAAATATCTTTCATCTAAATATGTAAGACTTATAAGCAAAAATACATTGAATATTTCATCTACTCAGAAACCAGAGAAGAATCCTACTTAAGGTTGTGGTAATAATAACTTTGTTTTACGTCCCTTTTTTCTTTGAATAGATACTGTACCTCCAGTCCAAATGAAAAAAAAAACACATTTTAAAAACTAACGATGCCTTAAAATTTAATGGATTTGCAGCATTTCCGAAAAGTACATAGAATTTTCTTTTTAGAATTTGAAAAACTTTTTTGGGGTGGGGTAGAGGTGGGGTTAAACAAGGAGTTACAAGTTAGTTCCTTCAAAAGATATATGATAAAAAAGGTACATATATAGCCAACACAGCCAGAGATCGCGGGAATCTGTATCAAATTAAACCTCGTATGTTACGTATCCAATATCATATATCAGATATGTAAAAATAATTAGAATATTTTCTACTGTTCTCTCATAAAAAAGTAATCGTGAAAGTGAATGGGGGAAGTTAAATCGAGAGAATCTATCTATTCAATACATACATGTAAAGTTAGACTACAAATATTTATTCTCGGAAAACGCTGTACCTCTCTCTCTCTCTCTCTCTCTCTCTCTCTTTCTCTCTCTCTCTCCACTTGGCAAAAAATAAAAAGGGGTTCCAACCCTCGGAACCCCCTCCCCCGGATCTACCAGTATAGTATTTATATATTACATGTACCCAATTTTCGATGGACTCAATATATCAGGCCCAGAAGGGCTATGAACAACAGTTTAGGGAATTTTTTGTTGTTGGCGTAGTAAATGTGCTAGTAGAACACGGTTGGGAAATTGTTTAGATGGTAGCATAATTTATATAACGGAGAAATACTAATAAATTGGGAAAAGTGCGCTTTTGTGGATAATTAGCTTCCTGGACGTACATCTTTATTTTTTTTCCAGCTGCATTCCAGCGAGCTACAGATCTGTAGCTAATATAAGATGTTGTTACATAGCATAATCGGATAAAGCAAAGAGACTGACAACTTGAAAGCTAGCATAATTATTGCCAGAAAAAGAAGAGGCACAATTTATGTTCATCATCAAAAAGTTGTTCGGACAAGTTTTTTTTAAATGTGCAAGAGAATCATTTGCGGTAAATACCAAGATTAGTTCTTCTAAATGCATGCATAAATCTCGCTAGGAAATTTAACATTTTTTATGTACGGGTGGGGGGGAGTGAATTGAAAAGTTTCTGTGAAAATGTACACAATGACAAATATAATTCAATTCTATATTCTTCACCTATTTTCCTTTCTGACCGGCAAGTTTCAACGTGGATCAGTTCATTTGTACATGAAATTGTATATAGGTATTTCTTATTTCTGATAATATTATAATTTCATTTTCCTGGGTTCATGATTACATTGTACTTTATTTTACGCTACATTTGTTTTTTAAACTGATGACTTATTATATATTTGATACACCCTTTATCAACCGTTTTGGATATTGATGCAGTTTATGCATTAGAAAAGTCCATGGACAATTTAAATCGTTTACTGATACTTTTCTTTACCATGTAACAAATTAGCCCGATTTGCCACGGGTAGAAAACCCCTTCTCATTTAAGATTTGGAAAAAAATCTTATTTTATATAAAAGTTCTTGAATAGGTAAATTTGACATGCACATTTTAAAATCATATTTATTATACACACATGTCACCTTCGCTAGCCGAGCGTTTCCGATCCGAAATCTACTTTACAAGTAGAGTAGCTTTCGGATTTGAAACACTTGACTAGCAAAGATGACATATAATGAAGACTCAACCCAGGTTCAAACTTTTACGGAAAATGATTGTTAACCAACTGTATTGTTCTTTATATTATCATTTAAAAAAGTTCCCCCCTTTTCAGGAAAATATTGTTGGCGAGGAATTTATTGCAAACAAATATTACAACTGCAGATAATTTGGGCAATACTTAACCTGAATCCTATGTTATCTAAAAAAATGTAATTCTTCATCATGCCTAAAGTTAAAATTTTGTTTATAGTTGTGATTCCATATCCGATGTTTTATTATTGTGTTCTCCTTTCTGTCAAGGAAAAGTTTAATTCATTCCTGCACAAGCATTGGAATGGAAAGGGGGCAAAAGAGGGGGGGGGGGTTAGCTCCCCCCTCAAAAATTTGCAAATACATACATAATATAGGCATTGGAATTTATTGAAGTTTACCTTTTTATTTATATTCATCCCCCTCCATTTCAATTATCTTCTGACCCCTGTGTCCTGTATTCGTGCATGAACATTGTATACGTGAGAGAGAGAGAGAGAGAGAGAAAGGATTTGGTTACAAAAAAATATTAACATTTTAAAAGAATATATTATTCTAAATGTTGCATTCAATATATTTAAAGTATTTTCATCTGGGTAATATTTTCCCAGATAATAACTGATCCCCGAACGGTCAACGAGGTATAAAGAGATCGTTACTATTTTTAGAAAACTGGACAGGCCGGTTTCACAGACAACTGTTGTTTTCATGTCGCAGGACGTAAACGAGATGTGTTGTTGTAATCACTGAAAGAAAACTTGGGAAAGAATTTCAATACCTTTACTTTCATAACTCTTGTTTAACTTATCGTATGATCCATGATCAAGCTAGTACTGTCTGGCGTCAGGTAAGCATTGTAATACGTTGTTTTATAGATGTATTTTTCATAAGCAAAAATTCACGTGCTTGTAAAATTTCAACATCTATTTTTTTTATGAATTTATTATTTATTATTATTACTTTTAAAGCATTCAAACAATTGTATTGTATCAGTTTCTGAAACTTAGCGGAGGACAGTACAAGTTTGATTTATATTTTGGGTGGTTTATTGTACACATTAGGCCTTCTGGAAGCGTTTGCGATAGCCCGTGACCGCGATTGATAACATATATTTGGAATTGTTACTATTGGAGAGAGGAGAAATATGGCAGACAACGCTTTGCTCGTTGCGTATAATAGGTTTAAGACTTTGTACGATAGCTTTAAAGGGAATGCTAAATGGAATATTCAAGTTGAGCGACTCAACCAAACTTTAATAACAATACTTGGTCCACAGGAAAGCAAGTAAAAGGAATACTGTAGTTATGTAAGCACTCTTGTATATGCATAAACTGCCACATGACATGACAGTACGCCTTTTTTACATTAGGGAGACATCTGCTTTCGATAAGGATCGAGGGATTGGACTTCAAAATTTGAGCAGTCGTGAAAAAGAACTTCTATGAGAGAGGACATTAATATCTTTTGTTGTTGACAAAACGAATGAAGAATACGGTCCACTGTAGAGTTTGTCTTAGCTGTGACTTTAGGGTGAGTGAGAATATAAACCGTTAAAATTTAAATTTTTAAAAGTAATTTTAGAACGTATAATTTTTAGAAAATGCTAAAATCTCTTTAGGATATTTTTTCTTACTGTTAAAACTGATGTAAAAAGCATTGATGTCATTTATGACATAAAAATTAAAAAAAAAATCTATTTATTTAAAATATCTGATATTTCACCGGATAGAATGGTGCTTCCGGGGTGGCGGTAGGGCGTGACTCGGGGTGGCGGCACCGAGGCGAGAAAAACACCATCAAGGTGTGTTTACCTGAATTTTTTTTCATATGTTCAGACATCTTAGATCAGAAAATTGTATGCTACGAAAGAGAACAAATATCAACGTACCTCTGACTGTTTAAATGAGCCTTTGAGACTGCTCCGTTTTCTCAAACACTCCTCCTCACTTTTTATATATTAACGTTTACGACTTCTGACATGTTATTCTGTTTCAAAATTGACCTCAAAGGGGTGTTTTCCTCACATCATCAACATTAATAAAGTTATACAATAGAATTTAACTTCAAATTTAACTTCATCCCTACTTTAAAAGTCAATATATGTTTCTAATTAAGCCAATTTAGGCTTCAAACTCTATGCGACGATCGCGGTGGCGGTTTTCATGCCTTGCGGGGGGGGGGGGGGGGGGATAAGGATTATTTTTTCATTCAGCGTTCTCCTTGGCCCCCTTGCGAGACAAAAAAGATACAGATCTCCTAGAGGAATTTAGATTATGGCATGGCATGATGTTATTTCGCTATATTTACATCCGCTGAATATTTTTTTTTCCTTTATTTCTTAAGAAAACCAAATGCACTAACCATAAATATACACAATATCATAATGATGAAACCAGAGACATATAATCCCTGATGAAACATAACAAAGAGATTGTATCAGAAAAAAGGGAAGTAACTCTTAGAAGAGTCAAAAATTTATGAAAAAAAATTGATATCGATGTGTTGTTACACCACTGGGTTAATGAAAACTTAAAAGTTGAATGGTAATCATGTTATTTCAAATTATATTTATCCCTGAACAATTTTCTTGTCCCATGTTAAGGGAGGAGGGGGGACTCAAGAACGTCTTTTACTCCACAACATACATAATTATGTATGTTACCGGTCTTGAACAGTAGACCTCCCCCCTAACCCCCCCTGCCCCACCCCCATCCCCCCCGCCACAAAACTTGCTCATAATTAGACTTTCCCGCAAAAAGCTGGCTCTAGAGTAGAATTTCCCCTTCGGAAATCCCACACCAAAGTCAATTTTCTGGGGGTGATCCTAATCTGCATAGTAGATATAGAGTTTAATTTCCTCAGAGTGAACCCCCAACCCCATCCCCCACCCCCAATGAAATATAATTTAAGGAAAAATGTAACAAACAAACCTTGAAAATTACAATCTATGTCCTATTGAAAACACTTTTTATTCGCTAGAACTTTATTTTCGAGTAATTACGTGAGACAGTGAACTCGCGAAAATTTGAATTTTGCATATAATAGTATTTTATAGAATTATATAGAGCAAGAACCACAATTCGTGAAAATTGGTCTCGCTTATCAAGAGTCAATGACTATCTCCACAAATAAAATAAGGCGCCGCGAAAATATAGTGATCTACAGTTTTTAAATATGTAAAATGAAAGTTGAATTTTTCATTTAAAGTCTCAAAAATGGGATTTAAGAAGATTTAATATGACGAAAAAATGCGGTTAATGCAGAAAGGTGGAAATTTGAACATCATAGTACGTTAATAATTTTAATTATCTTAGAAATTTTATTATTGTAATCATTTAAAGCCAAAATACATGTAGGTATACAAATATAGACCAATTTAGACAGTCAGTTTTGTTTGTTTCATAGCATTTTGAAAATATTTTACATTTCATTCGAAACGTTAATATTTTGGTTTGAGATTACATGATTTGCCTTACAATATAAGTATTTAAACCCACTCATTTACTTTTAAATCATTTTGCCGTTTAACTTTTTTTTCACAAAGATACTGAGTATTGCGGCTGTGGTTTACATTGACTCTATTAACGAGGTGGGGGGTCCTACTCTGAGAAAGAAAAAAGGGAAATTTTACTCTGATATGAATTTCCGCACAGTGAAAAATCCTACTCTAGAGTACGTGTTCTGGTGATGGGGATGGCTATGGGGAAAATCCTACTTTACACCACCGGTATGCTCTCGTTGTCGTTTTTATGCTTTTTATTTCCGTTCTTTTTACGTTTTTTCCAAATGGATTAGACCGAATATGGTCGGAGGGGGGGGGGGGGGGGGGCATTCTACAGCTTCTTTTATGACAAAGCCCCACCTACTTTTTTGCAAAAATAGACATAATAAAGACATTGAACCTTTTGGGGTAGTTTTAGCCCGCATCCCGCCCACCCCTTTCTACACGCAAAGGTTACAGTGTATTCAAAGAAGGGTGAGTTGTGCATGGGGTTTTGAAAAAGAAAATAGTACTAAAAGAATTTTGATCTATCCTACCACCTCCCCCAAGAAACAGGATTTAGTGTTTGAATAATTTACTTCTTTTGCTTGTCATTTTTGTCCAGGTTTGAAATCTATACTTGATCTTTCAATTAGCACAACCTCTTTTATTTTTTCTTCTGAAGCTAATATATTGTAAACTTTTTGTCCATTATTGAGGGCCGTATAGGGATTTGTTAAAGTGAAGTTATTTGTTGTTTTGCATTTAGTGGATGGGATACCCCCTTCCTGCCACAATCAAAAGATACACAGATAATTGTGCCACGTATGTTTCACGTACGTTTAACGTATGTGACACGTACCTGACTTTACGTACGTTTTCCATGAAGAAAGCACCACGTATGTTATACGTGTATGTACGTTTTCACACGTGTGAATATCATGCGTGTCACGTATGTTAAACATACGTATTGCCTACCATACGTTACACATATATTGTACATGTACGTTACTCATACGTTTCACATATAAATGTGCAACGTGTGTGTAACGTATGTTTCCCATAACATGTTTAATGGGTTTATTATTTGCACTACTCACATTGTAAATGTATAAATACCATACAAAAATGGGTCAAACCATGGTTAAACACATGTTTTGAACATTTTTTTCACATATTGTAAACGTTGGTGAAACAAAATTACTTGCAATTTAAATATTCAATTCATGCATTTGACATAATTTCCCTCAATGGCTTATTTTCTTTTCATCTGTTGAATGATCCACTTTCTGGTTATCCTTCACTTTAAATTTCCAGATCCTAATTGCTCTTGAAGCAATCACAATCACAACAAAACACATATTTAGATATAAGCCAAATTTAATGTTGAGTATGTTAACATTAATTCATTCTTCTCCAGTGCTCTTTTATCTGTAAAGAAAAAGAAAATATTAAATGCATGGAATAAAGGAAAACCCATTTTTCCCCTGAACATTATTATTATCCATATATTAATCCTGATTTATTCCCTGTTGAACTTTAATACTAAATACTAAATAACAATAATTATTTTTTTAGTATTCATAACCATGATCTTTTAGACTATTTTTTTTCACTATGTCCTCAAATAATTACCTTGTAATTCCCGTATCTAAAATTCATTAAATAGCAATGATTTGTGGGTGAACTCGGAAAAAAAGATGTGTTTGTACACACTGATACCCCATATGCCAGCTTATGGTTAAAGTTTCCCGAGTGCAAGTCAGACTCCAAAGTCAAGGTCAAAGGTCAGATTTGTTGACATCCAAGGAAGGACTTGTCACAAAGAATAAATCTGAAAAAATATGATCAAAATTAAAGTTTTTTAACAGTGGGTTAACTAGAAGTTCAAGGTCGAATATTTTACCCATTGTTTCTTTTTTTTTTTTTTTTTGCATCTTCTTTGTTAGGTTAAAAACATTTTAAATAAAAACTTAATTGTTATTACAGTATTTTTAAACTTCACCTGCATTTTGATATAATGTATCCGTATTGATTGGTACACCTGGGTGCTGACAAAGACAGCGTACTGCCTCAACATGGTCAATATTTTCTGTTTTTGGTAACCCAAGTCTCCATTATGCAAGACACGGTCATAAAGTAATTAAATAATTGCTGATTTTATGCATTCCTCACCGTAAGCTAGGCCCTAGAACTTGCAGACGTCAAACTTCACTTTCCAGTGACGTCACTGGAAACGTACATGTTATACATAAATGGAGGCTGGAAAATTCCGGAAGGTATATTTCATAAGTTTTATACGGACGGTACGCACTGTATATTTGATAATTATCTAGGTGAATCATTTACTCCCTTTTGAGATTTGAAATTATCGTGATTTTTTTTTTAAATTCAGTTTTGCTCTTGAATTCGGATTGATTATATCTACCGATGACCGAGTTCAATTTTATGTGCCTCTACTTTTTATGTAAACTGTTAACTTTTTTAGAGTAAATTTTAAACCAATGCGAACTGATAACATCATGCCAGACATGAAAGTGGACGTAAGGTAAACAATGTTTAATAAATTGAAACATTAAATACGTAAAGCTCACACGACAAGTCAACAACGCACACACACTTGAGCTTCAGTTGTGATTGGGTTTAACCAAATATCATAATAATGTTTATTTAAAAAAATATTTTAGATTTTAAAATATTATAATTATCAAAATACATGCAACTGTTATACATTTTATAAGAAGGATTTTATAGATGGTCATACATGTATACCTATGATTCCTCTTCTTCCTGAAAACAGGTTAGGCTTAAGTGTCTATTGATTGTTATGTTAAATAATACCTTGATTAGTTCTCAAAAATCACTTAAACTATTAAGGAAAAATAGTTAGTTCTGGAAGTCAGCCATACTTTTATACAAAACGTTTCTGTATTTTAAACAAAATTATGTAATCCCTAGCAACAATAAATGTTTGATGCATTGTTTTTTTTCCCTTTATAGCAAAAACTAAATGGTAACTTGATTAATAAATTAAATTTGAAATAAAATCAATAGGATTAGATTTATAGTCAACCTACATTTTTCATACATGTATGTAATTGTATGAATTTACAAAATATACAGCCTTCTCATTCTCAAATATAGCTTTTCACAAACATGTAAAACACCTTTTGAAATGTATATGTAACATGTGCCTGATAATACCCATTCTATATTCATCAACATATATGTAATGAGAGCTTTATTATACAAGTTAACCATAATTTATTTATGTACATTAGTATATTTGATGTGTGATTTATTATACACATAAACTATACATGACATTTGTGCTTTATAAAACACATGTAAACCATGAGTTCATTAACGTACGTGTAACATGTGTTTGACTATAAAACCATGTGTTCATTAACGTACGTGTAACATGTGGTTGACAATACACATGTAAACCGTACGTTTATTTACGTACGTGTAACGTATGGTTGCACATAACATATGTTACACGTACCTTTCACGTATGTAACACATACGTGTATTCCAAACATAAGTTTAACGTGCGTTATGTGAAACGTATGTAGTCAAACACATGTTATACGTACGTACTACCACATACGTGAAAAGTATGTTTGTAATACACGAATGTGATACGTACATTTCACATACGTGATACATGTGTTATGTGCAAGCATATGTAACACATACGTGGCACAATTAGTTGTGTATAGGAATGGATAGCGATCATCTATGATAGATTTTCAAGTTTCTTGCTCATAATTAGTCAAATGCTAAAAATTGGCCAAACCTTCTGCACCTACATTAATGCATTTTACAAGTCAACTTCTTGTAAAACGCATTAAATAAGTGCAGAAGGTTTGGCAAATTTTTAGCATTTAGTGTTTTTTTTTTACATTAATCGACAATTTCAGTTAATTTCACATCTTTCGGCTATGAACGTATGTCCCGAATAAACAGATTATCACAATATGATGATTTAACCAGTCACTCAGTTGTTGTTTTGTTAGTTTAGGGACAAGTACAAAGATGTTTATACTGTATGTGTATAAAAATTGTGATTGAAACTATCTTGATTATTCTGCTCAACATGGACTTTTGTTCAAAACTTCAATGTAGCCACTGTACGAAGGTTGTCCCAAAAAGTCAGAGACAGGGAAAAGTTTTTTTTTTTTTTTTTTTTTTTTTTGCTTTATTGAATTTCTTTCCTTGTCATAGCAAAGAGTAACATTTTATGATCATGCACTTCAAGTTTCATGATGATATCACATCTTATAAGAAAATTATGAAAAAATAAAGAAAGAATATAAATGTACACCGGCGCACGAAAGCAAGCGTAAATTACGTCTCTTATAACGTCATGATCCTTTTACACAAGTCTACTTCAGTAGCGGGTATATTAACAATCAATATTTTTTTAAGTGATAGACCATACTTGATTAAGGGACAAATTTAAATTCACTACACTCCGTTAGTTTTTTACTTTTTTATTTTTTTTTATTTTTTTTTTAAGCAGATTCAATCTTCACTGGAAATTTAGTCGAAAGATCGTTAGACATTGTAGGCAGCAGATAATAAAAATCGTTTGACGTCCTTCGCCGTCCAGATTGTTCCCAATTTTCATATAAAATTTTGACATAGTATTGAGTTTTTTTATTCTGGTTTAGTGATGTAAATTTGAGTTCAAAGTTTTACATAGTACTAAAGAAATAAAAGCAAATGTATAGTCATATGCGTCAATAATTCCGAATTTTGTCTTTGCCTTATCGGCCTTCATATAAATCGTCCTAACATTATTAATATACATGTAAAAGATATGTATTCAAAAATTCACAATTTTAAAGAATATTGACTATATTTTGTCTATGTAAAATTTGGTAAGTATTGGTTGCATGTTTACAAAATTATAAACATTGTCTATCACAACCCTCGTACATAGCAATACGCAGCATTACATTGTATAATTATAAAGTGTCTATTCCTTATTTATTTCGGACTTCAAATTAAAAAAAAAGAAATTAAATTTTATTCTTAAAGTTTGACATAGCCACATTTATTTCAACAATAAAATGCTTTCTTTGTTTGTTATTACTGGAATTAGCTGAAGCAGCTGTTACAGACAAAACACACAACCAGCGTAAGCGGGTTATGTATTTTTTTTTCTGCAAACACATTTTATTATTTATATTTATATCTGTTTAAATAATCATTTAAAGTAGGATTGAAAAGATCAATTATTGTATTAATGATGCGAACGTTTTCATACATTACATTGATGGAACAGCCACTGATCAAGAAATCTGTACAGGCGACATGCCGACTGTTGTTCATGCAGTGATTAACGCAATGGGTTTTCTTCAGAAATAAAGGGGAAAAAATATTCAGCGGATGTAAATATAGCGAAATAACATCATGCCATGCCATAATCTAAATTCCTCTAGGAGATCTATATTTTTTTTGTCACGCAAGGGGGCCAAGGAGAACGCTGAATGAAAAAAATAATCCTTATTTCTCCCCCCCCCCCCCCCGCAAGGCATGAAAACCGCCATCGCGATCGTCGCATAGAGTTTGAAGCCTAAATTGTCTTAATTAGTAACATATATTGACTTTTAAAGTAGGATTGAAGTTAAATTTTATCGTATAACTTTATTAATGTTGATGATGTGCGGAAAACACCCCTTTGAGGTCAATTTTGAAACATAATATCATGTCAGAAGTCGAAAACGTTGATACCCCGCAAAGTGAGGAGGAGTGTTTGAGAAAACGGAGCACTATCAAAGGCTCATTTAAGCAGTTAGAGGTACGTTTATAATTGTTCTCTTCCGTAGCATACAATTTTTTGATCTAAGACGTCTGAACATATGAAAAAAAATCATGTAAACACACCTTGATGGTGTTTTTTATCGCTTCGGTGCCACCACCCCGAGTAACGCCCCACCGCCACCCCGAATGCACCGTTCTATCCGGTGTATTTGTAAATTGTCTTTTTAAACTTTTTGCGTGTGGTAAAAATAAATCTTTGAAATAAGTTTTGCAACGAACAACCTAGGATGTTCCTTACCAGTATGTTTATCTTCACCCTGACATGCTTGAATAAAGAACAGCTTTGGTTTACCAGCCAATGTTTTGCAAAGATGCCCTTTGAAGAAGTGTAGAAAATCCTTAATCATAACTTGTTCGCCGTCTGTTCCAAACACTGAACCTTCCGAGCCATGGGAAAGTATACAGCATACGAATGCATTGAATTCTCTATGAGATTCTCCAGAAATGTTTCGCAATACTTTTATTATTTCTTCGGAGGTCAAGTCCTTCTTTTTCTCAACTTGAAAATGGAGTTTTCTGAATAAAAATTCCAAGTTGTCTAAAATGATAAATCAAAAAGTCAAAATTAGGAAAGTCAATAAACAAAATTATTTCTTTTTATTCGTTTATGATCGTGTAAATTATAATTGTACGAGAGTAGAATACACCTTTCGCCAGATATTCCGACAATCTTTACGGCTTAATAGTTATATTCAAAAAGGTTAGTTTCCAGTGATGAACATACAGTGTTGCTATCGTGCAAGTTGACATAGGTTGGGATCGAATCCTAAAACGCAGATTTATATTATAAATTAAGAGTAATACGGCTTAGGATCTAAATGAACAAAAGTGTGAAAATAACAGCGTATGCGAAAACTGTGCATGTCACCTCTTTTGTCGAAAAACTCATATTTAAGATACTGTAAACCAACTTTTATTCGCGACGACTTTATATCGCGATAAACCGGGCGTAAGCTACTTCGTGATTCTATATGATAAAAACGTTTAATGCTGTATACTGTAGAGATAGATTGAATAATTCCGAAGACAAAAAAGAAGTTTTTGAATATAACAATCAAGCTGCTCGATTGAAATTTGTAGGGACACTAAAAATGTTTGATGTTATGTGTAATAGGATATCTGATAATGCCTAGAAAGACATCGTTAAGATACTACATATGTAAACATTTAATCATCACAAAATTTTGTAGAAATTTGATAAAAGAAAAATAAATATCTCTATCAGATATGTACCCTATTTTCTTATAAATTACAATATTATTGCTGTCAATCTGTCTGAGTCGGACAATGACGACTTAGGAAATATTTTATATTAAACAAAAATTATTGCATTTTTACACATTAAATAAAATTGGAAATTGAAATACATTTGTATGGCACTGAACTGACCATAAACTGAGAGGAAAATTATATGACTGAGCATGCAGTATAAGATTTTATTTTCATGATTTCTTAATGCATTACTTTTTGGAGAGAAAATGAAGCTAAATAAGAAATTTTAACCTTTCGGACATCTTGAAATTTATTCAGCAACTCTATATTTTGCATGTTTAAAAAATACATGTATTCACATAAGAATAAATTATCACCATATGAATTTAAGTAAACAAAATCATACATTTGATATTTGATATAATAAGACAATTTCACATTTAAAATGTTTAATATGTGAAAGTCAAGATATTCTAGACCTAAATTTTGACTTCCTGTTTGGTTTATGGTCTAATCATATATTTATCTTCTTTTTTAGAACCGCATACAGAAGAACATGTTATACAGGCACAGTTAGACTATACAATTACATGTACATGCATGTAATTTTACATGAAACATATACTTAAACATTATAACCATATAGGCCTATGTTTTTTTTAAATAATTAATACATGTATTAACACGTCTGGAGCAAGTCGCAATAATGTGGCCATGTATCCCGATCATTGTTAGTAGGAACATTTTTAAAACAGTCTAATCATATTTTTTTCTTTAATTCTTTCTTCTGGATGCCCAAATTTTATACATATATGTTCGCAAAATCAGTAAATGCCCACGTTTTATAACAATTTGTTTGTTTACATTAATTTCTTTACATGGTAATGATAATCGAAAATTTAATTTATGCGGTGTGTCAGGAATTATGATTATTTTTCTCCATTAAAATTTAACATTTAAATGATTACCATGACTATAACTGTTTTTTATTTATTTTTTTTTTTTTTTGGTCATTCCGTTTTTTGTTTTTTTTTTTTTTGGTTTTGTCAATTTAAGTCCTTAATATTAAAAAAAAAACTTAGAGTTGCAGGATAGGATAAAATAGGATAGGATTAGACTGAAATCACAAAATAGGATTGCGGATACAGGATTCATGATAGGATTGGATAGAAGTCAACTTATAGGATAGCAGCACTGTACATGTGCCTAGTACCAGATAAGAACCCAGTAAAATGTACGTCACAATCATACCTGTCATTCATAGAAGATGATTTATTTCATACTGAAATTCTCCTGATCTAAGAGGGTTTCTCCCACCTACCTGTAGCTTGCATTAGACAATAGTTCAGGACTGAACTCTGCAACTCCTTACCTTTCATGGAGATTCAAAAGATAAGTTTAGCATGAAGATATGTCCCTGATGTCAGAGCTTTCTCCCAACCTACCTGTTCCTTTCTACCAGATACACTGTAAAACCCCTGCAAAATATACCTCGTAATGTGCCGCTTTTACTAAATGCAGGATCGATTTTTTTATTGAAATAATTACCATAATCTTAGATAGTTTCCCAAACCTACCTGGGTACCAGCTAATTCTCACGGTCAATAATGGGTAATATACTACCTTTAATAGAAAGTCACAAGTTAAAAACTTAGATGAACATATGTCTCTAGTCTCCCACATACCTGTACTTTGTACCAGATATTTCTGTTAAATATACTCCACATAATAATCCTGGCTTACATTGTTTCATATACATTTAATATATAGAGCTGATCTCGTAGGGTTTCCTCTACCTATTAGTAGCTTTTACCAACTAATTAGCTGCAGATCTGTAGCTCTCCGAAAAAGAAATATATCGATAGACCGGAGAGCTACAGTGCTATGTATTGAAAAAATATTGTATATTTATTGCGCACAAAAAAGTGCACTCAGTTCTTGATTATTTTTTCCAAATTCTTACCTTAATTGCAAAAAAGGAAAAATTTTGAAAAATTCGTTTTCCTCTATCAAGTTCTCTCGTAGTAAACATCTGAACAAAGCATATTGGACCGAATTATCTTTGAAACCGACAGGGCTTTATAAGCGAAATGTACTATGATTACAATATCAGGGTCAGAAGGACTATTAACAACAATTATAAGGAGTGTTTTGTTGAAGAAACAACGAAAGAATATGTAAAAAAAAAAATACGGTTAGTAATATGTTGAGATCACAATTTCAAAAACATGGAGAAATAAATCAAGAACTGGGCGCACTTTTCTGTGCGCAATAAATATACAGTTTTTTTTTTACAATGGGTGGCACTGTAACGATCCGGTCTATCAATATGTATTTTTTTTTAGGGGAGCTAATCTGCAGCTTCTGACTAATAGTCCAAACCAAAATTCGGTAATTCCCTACTTTCTATGGCAAGCCAAACTTTTCAACTCACAGAGGGATCTTCCAATGTTTTATATCTGTTATTGATTAAACAGTTCTACTACAAATACATTCCATGAATATGAAGGAACTAAACATGACAAAGCAATGAATGTCCTTCAGATATACAAACATGTCTATTTGATTGGGTATTGCTTTTTTTGTGGACACATGAAGTCGGAAAAATACAGAATATAGGATATTTTATATCTCCTAATTGGAGACTTGAGAAGAGGTACAGAGTGTTTCACAATATATGTCACACATCTAAATACAGAAAGATAATTTACAACAAAAGCTGCATATACATTTTATGTATCATTTTAATCAGCATATATTAATTTTTATGAGTTAAAAGCATCAAAATTCTTCACTTATTATGGCAACAATTTCTAAAATGTCATTCTTTGAGTGTTTCCCCGACATTTTCCTGCCTTTAATGAAATAAGAGACTAATTTCTGACCACTGTCTTGTAAGGTTCACAAGATACTTGAGACATCTCTTGTTTTATATTTAGAAACCCAAACCTACATCTGCAGTACCGATCATGCCAAACCTGACACAAAGCAATCCCAGGGCAGTCCCGGGGACTGCTTTCTGGGATTGCTAAAGCAGTCCCACAGCAGTCCCCCAGCGGTCCAAGCAGTCCCAGCGGTCCCAGAGAGCAGTCCCAGCAGTCCCAGTTGGCGGGGTTTTATCAATTTAATGGGTGGAGCTAACTCAGAAATGAGATTTGCAATAAACAGTGGAACTATAAAAGGCAGTAGAGATTGATTCTGGGTAGTATGCCAGGAATCCTTACATGTTTGCGAAGGTCATTTATGAACAGTACGCGTATCGAAACAACAATTATTACTATTTATTGCAAGAAAAAAAGACTTTCACGCGAACATGTATAAATTAAACTAAACATGAATATTTAACTACAACTATCAGGTAATTGATTATTCAATTTCTTTATTTTCTGTGATTGGTACTGTTTCCCATATTTATTTTTGATACAGAAAATTAAACGTGAATTAATTATTTTCCACCAATAAGAATTAGCTTTAAATAAAAAATTTCATCTTTATATGGCCAAATCCATAGTAACGTGATATTCAAAAGGAATTTTGGGGGCTTTTAGAAAATTCTTTGTTAATTTTGCCAAGTTTTATTTTTCAGCCATGATTATTTTTATTGACATGACAATCTAATAATTGTTAATTTTTCTACCTTTATAATACTCAGTTTTACGAGTTTTATTTGTAAATGTAGAGTGTACATCTGTAAATCACCAGAATAGAACCCTCAGATTCTGTTCAAAATTAATTGATCCTGAAAAAAATCCATAAATATTTTATTTTTTAATTATATTTTTGCATTACATACCTGTAGATTGAAAATAGGGTCATTGTTGACCAGCATGTGCAATGATGTGAAACGTTGATAGTATACCCGAAAACATACACTGAATATCTGCCCTAAGGCGATTGAAACCGCGGGTGTTGAAACCATTTAGTAAACATTAATCGGCAGGGTAAACAAAAGCAAACGAAGAAAGAATTAAAATACAATTCCCGGTATTTGCAACTGTTTATTTATAAAATATATGTACTCTTTTGATAACTTGTTTTTTTTACCGGTAATTCATTAATAAATTCCCCAATGACTATTCACACTGATTGTTTCACATTGTTTAAGATATGTAAGAATGGTAGCAATTTATTTTCCTGGTCATTTAATAAATTGTTTTATTATACCTCTATTGAAAATACTCGAATTTGATTGGCTGGTAAGAAAACTTTAAAACACAACAATGACTCCAAATGGTACTGTTTACAGCAATACTGACCTAGGAATCTTTGCACGTGGGGTATAATGACCCGGTCATTATTTTTAATGACCGCTTAAAATGACCGCTTCATCAAAAATTCGTTTTTGAGTGAAGTTAATGCATAAAATAATAATTATTCGAAAAAAAAACCAACAAGTTTATAAAATTGTGCATTGTCTGTTTTGCATTACCATAAAGAATACGGTAAAATTTTATCGTTTCAATATATCGTTTCAATATTTATCGTTACAATTATTCAGTTCAATAGAATGTAGAGGCGGCTCTTCGAGTTAAATTCTGTGTTAGATTTTGACTGTGTAGAGGAAAAGTAATCGTTAGTTATAACAATGCATGTCTCTATCAACCAAATATTGTTTTAATCAGTAAATCATGATGCAAAAACTTACACATGCAACTTGCAGACGTCAATGTAAACAAATTCATTATCCGGTCTGTAGCGAATCCCGATCCCGATCAAAGAAAGAATTGATAACGCTTTTCAATACATATCGGTATAATACAAACAATTAATTACCCCTTGTGAGTTCAACATGGTGAAATAAGGACCCTCGACCTGGCCCACTCGATGACCTGTCCTGACCTCGGCCGCTACGCGGCTTTGGTCAGGTCAGGTCACCTCGTGGGCCAGGTCTCGGGTCCTTATTTCACCATGTTGACCTCACAAGGGGTAATTAATTGTATAATGATTTATCCGAGGGTTGCATGGAATACTTTTTTAGAGTGATACTCGTAAACATGAAGCTTTTCAAATAAAAAACTGTTATATCCAACTGTAATGATTTTTTTAAAATATTGCCAATGCAAATTCTGAGTGCACATAATTTTACATTAAATATTACAATAGGCCTTCATTTAGATATTTCTTATAAGACCTGTACTTTATTGCTTAGGGATTAACATTTTCTCCTGACTTCTTTACATGCATTTAATAACTTTCTTTTTTAAAAAAAATGTTTAACTTCATTAGTGTAAACATACATTCTCAGGTAGCTTTTTCAATTAAAAAATCTTATATCTAACGAATGATTTCTTAAACATAGTGTCGATGAAATTATTGAGTACATAATTTTACATTTAATAATAAAATAGGTCTATGTGTAATTCTTTTTTCTTCTTAACCTGTAGTCTATTTTAAGGGATAAAAATCCCTTTTTCCTGACTGCCTTATTTAACAACTTATTTCCTTTTTATTTATTCTCAACTACAATGGTTAAATAGACAGTCCCTGAAAATTTTAACTAAATATAATAATCCCTACTTATAAAAAGATTGTAAGAAATCCTTGCTTTTTAGCTAAAACTCCACTCTGCTGCAAGAATACACAAAGAGGCGCAGCTACCATGTCACTCAGAACCTTTTTCACACATGAGTGAACAAAGCAGTTCCAGAAAGCAGTCCTGTGGACAGCTGGGACTGCTGTGTCTGCTTTTTAGAGCATTCCCAGGGCAGTCCCATCGCGGTCCCAGATCAGTCCCACAGCGGTCTCAGAGTAGTCCCAGAGCGGTCCCAAAGTAGTGCTGGGGACTGCTTCCTGAGAATGCTAGGGTGTCAGGTTGGGTCTGGTCGGTACTGTATTTTTTTTTATTTAAAGATACCTTTATATATCGTTTCAGAACTCCAGGTATATGCATGTTGGTGTTTTCTTCTTTCGCTCTACCTTTCAGTCAATCTTGAAAAATTTAACGGCTCTGAACGTCTTTTTTGGGGGGTGGGGTGGAGTTGTAGATAAATACTTGAATTGAAAATTCGTAAATAATTATTTACCTGAGATTTTCAATTTTATCAGATCTTTCATACGCTCAGAATCATGGAGTGAGTATGATTTTAATCAAAATGAAAATAAAATGACAAATAATAATTGTTTTTCATAAGAATATATTACACTGGTAAAATTGCAACGTATGTCAACCATATGTTTTGAGAATCATATGTTGAACATAAGTTAAACATATGTTGAACATATGAATTTTCCACAGTATGTTTAACATATGTTTAAAACCTATGTTCAACATATGTTTAAAACATATGTTGAACATATAGCCGACTCAAAACATATGTTAAACATATGTTTGTGGTAACCATGCGTTTAACATATGGTTAACGTATGTTCAACATATATTTATTTCAAACATACGTTAAACATATATTTTGAGTTTGACATGTTTTACAATAAAACATCTCCAACGTCAGGAAATGTCCAACAGCTCAATTTTCCTGCCAACAAAGTTGAGAGTTACCTTACATTTTAGATAAATCATAAATTAAAATCGTAATAGACTAAGTTCAGTTATTCCATTAATTTCTTGGTTACATTTTTGAACTGGGTATACCATTCGTAGACCCCCCCCTCCCCAACCCGGCCTAGAGAGAAAGCTGTGGCCTGCTTTAAAGTCTAATATAAATTACACAAAATTTATTTTATGTTAATTTTAAGCAAATGTACTTCAAGTAAAAAAAATAATTTCAAAAACATATATCAAGATGAATTTGAATGTATATAGGCTATTTATTTACAAGAATGTAGGTGATCATTTCTTGTAGACGCTCACATAAAAAAGAAGGATGTCTACTCTGTTACTCTGCACCCTCAACCCTACCTCTTCAAATCTTCACAAAATATTTTACTTTTTTTAAACTAAATTTATCAGGTAGAAACAAAAATGTATTGTAATTTCAAACCGTTTTCATTTGGTTAATTCCGGACGGGTTTTGGTAAATATCGGATGAAAGTGTACGTAACATTTGACGTCACTGCTGCAGCAGAAGTCTTGGGTGTTGGAAAAAGGTAAGTGCTCTCAGATATTTTTGAAAACTTTTGGCCTAGTTCATGGTGTTAAAATCATTTCATTACGGGTACAGAGAAGCAAATAAACTTTGTGCATACCGCAGTATTCCTATCCACAAGTACAGGTCTATTACAATTCATAAAAGCCAAACCTGGTGATCAAATAAAAAATTGGATTGGATTTGTTTATGATAAATGAAAAACCGTACGGATCCAGCATTACCAATTTTTCATGTAAATTTGTTTAACTTTTGTCAATAGTTATGCTTACATATTATACACGATCTCGATATAAAAGTGAAAGTAGAAACTTTGTGTAGCAGTTGAAGTAAAATGTTGTGTTCAGATTGTTATCCTACGGTTCAACAATTTAATGACAATTTTTTGTTTTTATTAGGCCTATGTATTTTAGCAACTTTAGTTCAGCGTCACAGTGCCGTTTTTATTTAAAGAACCCAATGCCGATTTGACAGCATGAGTGATGATTGAACAAAGTCATTGACCCAATGCCGATTTTACTGGCGATTGCGTGGTGACAAATCAGGTACATACAATAATAATCATAGTGTTTACTAGTAATAACTATTCCAGGAAAGAATATTTCCTTAGAAAATTCTTTTTTTACTTGTATCTAAATTCATGATTTAATGGCTTTTTAAAAAATATATCTAACTCTTTTTTTTTTTACAGAAAATATTCCAGCACATTTTTAAAAACCTGTAAGATATGGAGAGAATTTTCTGGCCCTAAAACAACACAATATCTACATGTATATGGGAATAAATTTTCATCTACAGCAGACATACAAATGCAAGGCACTACTTTATGTGCTCATGATTTACAAATGTCAAAAGAACAATAAGAAAAAAAAATGTGTGTATTCAATTTTATGAAATTAAAAAGAAAAAAAAAAACTGAATTCAAAACCTCCAACAAGTATCAGTTTGAAATTCATTAATTATTGATATATCAATTAACATTTTAATTTTTTTATCAACACTAGAGAAACTACAGTATCTGTTGTAGTTATATATGCACATAATAAACTGTGTAAATTATTATTTGATATTTTAACAGGTGTAATATATAGCCTGCTTTTTTCATAGTGAATACATTGAAGAACAGACACCATGACCCCAAGCTTGCTTCAAAATAGGTCAGTAAATAATCTGTAATGAACTTAATACTTTTTTTTTATATATATTCTTACCATGAAAGTTTTAGGACTATAATGTATTCAAAATGTCTGGGTTTTTTTTTTTTTTTGGTTGTCTGTTTGTTTGTAGTATTTTTTTTTTTTTGGTCTAGGGTTATACATTTGTATCTCGATCATTGTGAACTATGCCTTTAGCATGTTTTGCAATCTGCATTTACTATTTAAACATTCCAATTTCAATTGTCAAAATTTTGAAAAAATTATTGCTATCGCTTAAAAGCTCACCTGAGCCTAAGACTAGAATGAGCTTTTTGGATTGAAGGATGTCCCTTGTCTGTTGTAATCATTGTCATCGTTAACTTCTCACAATTTCATCTGTTATATAGTTTCAAATCACATTACATATACCTTAATTACTTGCAGTGCTTTTTTGTATTTCCAAGAGCCCAATCAGCAGAATCTTGACATTGTAGGCTCCACCCGTGCCTTAACATGAGAAGTTTTCAAATCATTTGACCATTGTCGAAGAGACTGATGAAATTTCTTAAGTGCTCAAGGTAATTACTTTTTGTGGTAACATATTTTAATTAATAATACATGTAATTATCATGAGATTGGGACCTTGATTATTTAATTATTTTCTTCATCATTTCAGAAGCAATGCAGTCACTGTCAAGGAAACAAAGCCAGAATTGTGTAAAAATTTGAAAAATAAATGCAGGATTAATGCTTACAATTTTGTTCTTTTAATTTCTTATTGTTTGCTCAAGGCATTTAAGGCCAAGTTTTATATTTGGTTCACATTGCAATCCATGGAAATACCAATTAATAATAGGAAAATGTAAGGACAGAAATAAAATTAACATATGCTAAACATATGGTTAACATATGAACATAAACGTATGTTCATCATACGATCATACAAAACATATGAATAACATATGTTAAACATAAAATCAACATATGTTTAGAAACATATTTTGAACATATGTTGCTCGTTTTTTATGGCGAACATATGTTTTGGAACATATGTTAAACGTATGTTCAACATATGCTGAACATACGTTGCAATTTTACCTGTGTAATATTCCCCTACTTTACATACACACCTCAATGAATTTCAAAATTAATAAAAAAAATTCTAAATATATAAAATTTAAATAAATACAGGAAATATCAACACATCCCCCATCAAAAAGAGAGATTACAACTGTAAACTTTCATCATAAAATAAATTATTATTATTTCAATAATAAAGCCTGATGATTTTTTTTGGGTTAAATTTCTATGAGTCGTTCTCTCAATTCTGTACTCGAATTGTCTCTATAAGCCTGTAGCAGTTTTTTTTAAAGTAATATTCAGAACAATGAACATTCTCATTGATTTTTGTCATGCCCAATTAAGAAGATCAATAATTGTGATGTGAATTTTGGTAAATTTAAAGGAAAATGGAAATGTAAATAAAAGAATTGAATAATGGACATGTACATGTACGCCCGTCTTCTTTTTTTTACGCATTGACTGATACATTTACCCAATTTATATTTATCAATGGACTTTAAATACTGGTATAAACAAATTGGTAAATATTTATGTTACATTCTACTTGGAAAATCCAAATATATATTTTATTAATTGCTTTAATGAAAAAAAGGAAGAAAGTAGTTATATATAACAAAGAGCCTAAAGAATGAAATACATATAAAATGGTGTTTTAATTATCATAATAGACTTACACTGTACTTTCACAAACTTTGCTTGTATGTAGAGTGTTTGGATTTATATCGAATAACATCACACATTCGACCTTTCATCCCTATCGGCAGATCAATATGCCATTTTGATTGGTCGACGCGCTGATTAGTTAATTGTTAATCCTGATTGACAGCTCACTGAAGAAAGACCGAATGTGCGTTCGCTTACTGGGACCGCTACTGAATTTGGGGTTTTCTCTCTGGGTCGGCTTCGGGTTCGCTGGGGGTCCGCTACTGGTTCTCTCAGGGACAGCCCTAGCGGACCCCAAGCGAAACCGGAGCGGACCAAGTGTGCAAATCCGGGGTCCGCTCCGGGTTTGCTTTCTGTTAGGTTGTGTCTGATCGGTACTGTATATTTTAATTTCCCCAATATTTTGCAATAATATTATTTTATATCAATATGCTTACATGTAAGTATAGTGTTTTGATATTTTGGTATGCATGCTTGATAATCAGATTATGCCTATTTAGATATGTAACGTATATTGTTAAACACCCCGTACATTATGAGACCACATGTATAGGGATGATGCTGGCAGAGGGTCAAAAGGCCAGTCTACAGTTTGGTGTGCTTATGCAGTCCTCTCATGCGGTGTCTGGACTTGGATCATCTGCTATAATTAAGGTACAATGTTATATTCATATATTTTACACTTGTCAGTATTTTAATTTGTACATTGTGCTGTAAAGTGAAAAAATGTGTCTGCTTTCAAAACCAACTCCAGTTTATAGCCAACCCTTTTTAAATATCTTGTATTTCATTGAAAATATAAAAATCCATTTTCGCATAATATTACCTCGCTTAACAATTTCTATTCATTTTATCAAAAAAAACAATTTTGGCATCAGTTTTATTTAGAGTAGGATATTAAAATTTTACTGAAACTCATAGATAATATAAATGTATATATACTTTTTAGCGCTACCTGTGAAGCGCTTATTCATGACTACGCCAACCCCATACTCGTAGATTGCGCTAAAATTTAAATATACTAATTTTTGTATACATACACGACTCTCCTACAGCATAAAATTGAAAAGTATTTCATTTTGCCGTATTTCTTAGATATTTTTGGCATGATATTATCATTATATAGTCAATATTAATTTATATCCAAAATGAAGGACCGTTTGACCTCGATCCCTTATCTGTTACCAAACCATAGGTGCGTTGTCAATAAAATGAAATGTAGAAAATAAATTACCTGCGTCTATATCACTTCCTGATCGTGGTTTCCCAGTTTTAAAGTTTACGTTGTTGATTATCACAGCTTTGCCTATAATATAATGTCAACATTTATTTCCGAATACTGTATCTAATGCGTCACCTGATCAGTGAATGAATGGTGATCGAACGCAGAGCGAAAGGTGAAAGGACGGTAAGTGAACGATGTGTGAAAGCTGGAGGCAACTTGGTGAACGAGAACATTGGGTGAATGCAGAACGCAAACTGGGCGCACATGCGAGCGCAAAATGAACAGTAAACGCAAGATGAACGATTTATTCGGAATGCATCCGATCTTTTCAAGGCATTGAAACTTTTCTGTTGTATTCTAATGTTAGAGGCTAAAATATAAATAAACAATAAATAGATATATTAATAAATAATTTAAACAATTTTTTCTGCACATATATACGCACTTTGATGTTTTCAATCAACATTTTAATAACACGATTTTTATTGCAGTAAAACTTGTGTAATTGTTCTTGAACACGTGTTGTACAAAGGATAATAATAATAATAAATATTAAATATTTAATAAAAATTATCTATTTATTTAATAATCCAATAAAATGAATATTATGCTTGTAATAGATTAGATTTTCAGAACTAAATAAGTAATATGCTGTCATAGTTTTTATTTAACAGGACAAATGTATGATAAAGAGAGAGAGAGAGAGAGAAACAACCTCCAATAAATTCTCAGATATCTGTTGTACATGTGTATCGAAAAAAATCGCAATATTTTTTTTTTAAATATTCCAGGCAGTGAAAATAATCATTATTTTTTTTAAATTAACAAATCCATTTTACAAAAAGCATCGGCTTTTATTTTCCTTCATGAAATTCACACGCTTCACACAAAGTCCACGGGCATGTCCTGTCAATCAAAATCATTTAGCAAAGTGGAGGTGTGCAAATCTCGTCATCTTGTCGTTTCACAGAACATGCTGAAGACAAAGACCCGTGCTGACGTTTTTCTGCTTACGACTTCGAGCACCCGAAAGCACAGTGTTTTTCCTTAATCATATCGAATATCAAACCTTTATTATTGACAAACAAGAAAAAAGAATATTAGCATCCTTATTTAACGTCATCATTTTGTAAGTTATCTGGTTAAAATAATGATCTTGTCAGCAAATTTAATGAAAGATTGACGTTTATTTTATACTTATTGTAAGACCATTTTTTACACATCCAATTGTCGACAGATTTTCCGTTATTTCTCAATTAAATCAAGGAGTACAAGGCGGATGTGAATGGTCGTCCAGGTAGCACAAAATATTTTTATAAAAAGTTTTTTTTTTCAAAACATTTCAGACAAAACATTTTAAAAATGTTTTTAAAACATTTCCTCTTCTCATTTTAACATTTTATAAACATTTTTGAAATGTTTTTAGAAGCTTATGAAAAAATTCTTCTGGAACATTTAAATTAAAATGTTTTTGAAACGTTTAAAAATGATTCAAAAGGTTTGTTTATCTTTCAAATATTAAAGATTGTATATAACGTTTTAAAAACCTTCTAAAAACATGAAATGAAACATTCTGTTTCCATAAATCTGAAACATTGCATGAATACGTTTCTGAAACATTTGGCGGGAACATTGTCAAAATGTTTTTGAAACATTTTTAATTTTATTTAAGGAACATTTTACTTAATGTTTTTAAAACATCATTCAACAATAATTCAAAGGGAAAACTAGTATAGTCTTCAAATATTAAAGAACTTTTCTATGACCTTTTAAAAATGTCCCTAAAGTATGAAATGAAACATTCTTTTTCTGTAAATCGGAAACATTGCATTTAAAGTTTCTGAAACATTTTTTGCCAACTTTTTCTCATGCGGTTTACCTGTTTTATTTTGATGTTTTATTATTTTATAAACTTTTTCATGTGATGTTTTGTTTGTCTTGTCTTACAGATACTTTTTATAGATATTTTGGGGGGAGCAGTAATATTTTACGTCACTGATAGACACAGCTTGTGAATCTGATCCCCTTCTCGCTAAATTGTTCACATTCATACCGTCATTTTAATAACTAACAATGAAAGTGTTTTATTGACTTTAAAATTTAGCAAAAACAAGCTGCAGTGATCTTGGCTATATGCATACAAAGACATAAAGTAACTATTGTTACTCAATTATACGTCACCGATGAATCTAAATTTTTAGTTGAACGCCACAGCAAAAGTTAACTTCTTTTCATGTAAAGATTTTAGGTCCACTCAGGTGACCTATTGCTATCTGGTTGGCAAACAGGTTGGCCAATAAGCGAGCACAATTAGTGTCCATCGAATTTTCAAGTTTTAAAGTAAAAATTCTTAAGACTGCAGAAACGGGCCGCCATGGTTAAATTTATGTGCGCCATGGTTAAAGGAGCTGCGCAATAAAATCGGAAGGCTCATTGATTAGAATAAAAAATTCTCAAGGGAAAGCGGACTGTGCTAAACAAACACAGTTATTGATCGGCGACTATGCTGTGAAGCGTGACAATTGCGAGTCATTCAATATTTTGAAAGTTGATTATCCTGTACACATGTAATATTTGGAAATTCCAACTTGTTCTCAATACGATAACGAATTTAAAAGATAAAATATTTGAATGAGCAATAACGACATGAAAATTGACAAGCATCTGATTGAAGTTTCTGTGCAAAAAAAAAAAAAAAACAGAAGAAAACCTTTACGGACAGATGAAACAAACAATTGTTTTCTTTGGAGGAGACGTAATATCATGCCACAAGTTCAGA